AAGCCAGACATCCCACTTTTTCATCACTTACCAGCGCCTAATTGTCAAAATCGGGCTGCCAGTACACCGATCATTTGATTTTTGACATTTGCCGAATACCCAGATTTTTCCCGTGAGGTGCCATCTATTAGCTAAGTCCGCATTCCAGAAGAAAAAAAATCATTACAAGTTGTACGCCTTCAAAGGATAATTTATAACCCTATCTCCGGATATTTCTTATTCCAAAACATGGGATATGAATACTTTTACACTTTTCTTTCACAGCCAGAGCATTTGGAATCAAGTCAATCTCATGTACTTTAGTACAAGCAGAGCCATTGGGATCAAAACAAAAATAACCAACGATCTATTCAGCTACTCGATTAGCTAACTCGTTAGCTTGCTGCATACAAATTAGACACTGCGCCCTGCCCACTCTGTTTGCCAGATTTGAGAGAAATAAGCAACCAGGTCAATGAAAAACAAGCCCAAAAGAAGCAACCACATACATTGGATGTCTGTAATTTGAAACCAAAACTAAGGCCTGGAGAATGACTCGTCTAAGACTTTGGAACATTGTGTCATTTATTTTTGTATCATTAATAACATAATTTTGTTAATAACAAGTCATTTAAGTAAAAAAGAATAAAAATAAAAATCCGACATCCCCTCGATTTTTTTCTTCCCGATTCCGATCTTTTTGAAAATCACGTTGATCCGGCTCCGATCTCCGATCACGTGATCGGAATCGGGACATCTCTAGTTTCCACGCAGGTGTTTAATGTATGCTAGTATGCAGCACAACACCGGAGTTTAACTACATTATATGCAAACATGGGTTAAATGATTTAGAGGTACTTGGTTATTTTATTTTGTTAAAGTTTCAAGCTAATTCTGTTTACAGCTTCTGTCATCCCATATTATTTAATACCATTGGTTAAAACACTGCTTGGTTCTTTTGATGTGAAACCATTATGTATATTAATTTAAAAATAAAAGCAATCTTAATTTGTCAAACCAATTTGTTTAGTTAGTATACCTTTTTTTTTTTCAAAAGAACCGATGAGATGAACCGTTTTTGGGTTATAAGTTTTGTAAGGGTATTTTTTTAGCTAGTAATGTTCTCTATTATACATTAGTACTTTGTATTGTGAATACTTTGTTTAGGTGTCTGGGTCTCTTTTTCTAAAGGCCTCCATATCACCTTATTGGGGTGTCCCACTTCAAATACTTCCCTATGGCCTATGATTGTACTTATATTTGTGTATACTGTTTGTGATAAAATACATTACAGTTCTGCTTGACTAAGCAAAGCAGACTCTGTTAAAATGCTTCTGCATTATTACAGATAATTAGTGGCGTCAAAACTGATTGTTTTCATCCAGACTACCTGATGTGCGCACCATGAAGAAGACTGACTTCCACACTGATACAATGCCTGACAGTTAACTGAGGGAATAGCCATTGGAAACTACTCCTACAATTAGGAGGTAAAAATTCACAAGCTAACCCTGCAGTATACAAAGTCATTCAAACTAGCTGCACCTTTACCAGCTTTGAGAACACTTGAATGATCAATCATTATAAAACATATCATATATTATTCTGAAAAGGTCCAACCTGCATAAGGAGTACATTTAATTTTGTTACTTTAAGTATATTTTGATGGTAATACTGTTGTACTTTTATTTGAGAAGCCTTTTGAATGCAGGACTTATAACAGAGTATTCTTACACTCTGGTACCTCTTCTAAAAGTAACTAAAGGTTATACATTACTGTAGTGAAGTTTAAGTACACGATATACCTCTGAATTGTAGTGAGGTAGAAGTATAAAGTAGGAAACGATTAAAACAGTCAAGTAAAGTACAAGTCCCTCAAAATTCTGATTCTAGCCTTAAGACTTGATGAAAAGCCTCGCATCCATAAGAGAGGAAGCTAAGCCCCGCCTCTGGCTGGACACTTTGAGATTAAATATTAGGACCACAAACCCGACAGTGGAGAAAGTAAGGCTTATAAAGACCTAGACCCAAAAGGAGGACATATTTAGCGAGTCCAGCAGCATTTTCTTTGCCAATAAGACATTCCGGCTTCTTTTTCACTATCAAAGCAGAACGTCTGCGTGACACCCGACACCGAGCAGGAATGGCTGGAGCTGCCGAGGCCCGAGAAAATAGCCCAGGCTGCCTCCAAACTTCATTTATTCCCCGACACATCAAGTGTGTATCTACAAATGTTGTACAAAGCATGAGGAACACTTTAGTTACACCGGGGTTATCCTCCAGTGTGCCGCACGCACCGACGCACAGTTTAGACACTTTCATTGTGTTGTTGTACCCTTGGGACATAAAAACCTCAACTTCCAGACAAGGAATCACAGCGAGTTCGTCTCATTGTGGGGACCATTGCAGGGAGCGGAGCACACACAGACAACTCAGGGCTGCATGTTGAGTGTACTACTATGTTCTTATCAATTGTCCTTGTTCTCTGAGGATCCATGTTGTGAACAAAAAGTCAACGTACCGTCAACCGCCGACAGCAGGCAGCTCCACAGCAGCAGCATCAGACCGCCCATTTCAAGTCCCCTTCGCGTTAAATCCATAACTCCCACTCCATTTTCGGATATTTACTCCTTAATTAAGTTGTAAAGCTTGTGTTCACACATCGGCCGGTGTTCCTCTGTGGAAGCAGATACGTGTCTGGTCTGCATGCGTGTGTGTGTGAGTGAGTGAGTGAGTGAGTGAGTGAGTGAGTGAGTGAGTGTGTGTGTGTGTGTGTGTGTGTGTGTGTGTGTGTGTGTGTGTGTGTGTGTGTGTGTTTGTGTGTGTGAGAGTGTGTGAGCTCCTCTCTGTCGACTATACTTTTTTTTCCCCCCTGTTAATGCGCTCGCGCTACTTTATACTTTGGACTGTCGAGCTCGCGCACGAAGAGAAAAGGGCAGGCGGACGTGGTGTGACGTCATCCAACACGAGGCACCCAGATTTTTATTATTTTGCTAAATTGACTTTTGTGTTAGTGTTACATCTGTGTATTTGATGTAAAAGATAGGCTGTTCTTTAGAAAAAACGTTGCCGGGCCCTCGTAAGAAACAGCTCAATTGGTGATTGTTCATGTCTATAATGAAACAACAATTCAATTGTTAATATTATTTCTATATAGCCTATACATTTCAATATATTTGTGTGTACAGGTTTGGGGGGGTTACTTTAAAATGTATTTATTTACAATTACACGTTACATCTTTAAAAATATATTCAGTAACCTCGTCTAAGTATCATATCATTAAAGTCATATTACCTGATTATTATCGTTTACCTTTGGAATACCTTGATACCAAATGCAATGCAAATAAATATCAATTAGATGTTTTTGTGTATTGTGTAAGTCATACTTTAGAATGCAAGAAGCTGTCTTTGTAGATTTGATTTACTGCTGATAAGACCCAATCACCATACAGAGTGTTAAACAGTCTGAAGACAAAGAGGATCAATTCCTCTTGTACCATTTGTATTAATGAAGGTCTGTGAGACAGGAGGGTGGGTGACTGTCAGACAGTTTCAGGTGGAAACAGAAGTTCAATTAGAGGCTTCTACAGAAAGGGTAGAAGCAGAAGTTCGAACCCCAAATTGTTGCTTCTTATTATCGCTAACTCACCTTCTTGCCACGTAGATATCTATCCTTCCTAACACCTGTCTACCCAGCTCTCCACTTATGTCAGAAATACAGGTACGGAAAAACAAATCAGATATCAAGATTTCCCTCCTAGTTGTCAAAGTCACTGAATTAGAACTTCATAACAGAACAAATTAAACAAAGAAAGTGAAAACTGTAAAGCAAATTATTTAACCAGTAGGCCTATAGGCATATTCCACTACAGAACAGTATAGCTTACGAAATAAAAATCTGCTTCTTTTACAAAAACATGATATGCTCTTACTGAAGAATAAGGGTTACTCACAGCATGTATCTCTAAAGTCGTTTCCTCATAGTGAAGAAGCCTCAAATGATGGCATAACTCTGAACAAAGCCATGATGAGGACAGGATGGTCTGTCCAACGGGGTTATCAACAAGGGAGCAATGTAGGGCAAATCGTTTGTGGTCATTTAACTAATTGACTATAATGCTCTTAATGCTTCTCATTTTTGTAAAGCACTTGAATTGCCTTGCCTTAAATAAACTTACCTCCTTGCCTAATTGTTCCTAATTGTATAAGTGATACATAACGCCCTGTCTTGTAGAGCAGTTCAAAATCTAGTTAATAACTTCAACATATTTTGTTTGAAAGGCAAACCCCAACTGTGTAAAGGGAGAGCTGAGCAGCAATATCCAACAAAAACTCAGATATGACCACAAAAAAATGGTGAATCAACTTCTCACTATCAAACCTATATACTGTATTTAGATCTTTTAATCTTCAAAACATTTCCAACAATTACATTAAATTAATGCAGACATTGGTTGGAGCTACAATTATTAAAATAGGTATCTTATGTCAGATAATAATAATATAAAATAAATATGGCATTCTAAAAAGCTACGTCTTTGTAAATGCATAGGGTGTGGTATAAGAAGAATCCACTGTATCAATCCCTATAGGGAACATTCAGTGATCTACACCGTTAGTCCATCCATTTCATAGTACTAATACACACCATTGAAAACACACATGCATAAACACATGCATTTTAACGGAGAGATATCAGAACTGCCATCTTTATCGCAAGGGGGCAGGTAGGGGTTCAGTGCCTTGCTCAAGAAAACATTGGCAATGCCAAACTGGCACCTCAGCTAATAGTCCACACTCTGTGTTGTTGGTCCGATCCAGACTTGAACTGGGGACATTTCCGTTCCCAAGCCAAGTCCTACAGAGGTTTGAATTCCTGTAAACTGGTTGAAAGTCCAGAGATTAGAGGAGGAATGATCAAAAATGCTATAAAGTCCAAAGATTCATGCTGGAAGTAAAAACTTAAAACACGTTAAAATATCCTAATTCTGGGAATTGAAAAGAGAAGTGGTTTAAAGGTCAAAGATGGGTTCTGGCAACAGTCAAACAGGGACAATGTGTTGTCTGGGGATGCAAAATGGATGAAAGAGAAGGATGAAAGGAATATAAAAAGGGTAGAAAAGTGTCAAAAGAACTATAATTCCACGGGAAGACTAGGGGTCGAGGAATGTGAGAATTTGGTTAGGGATATTGCCAAATATCTGGAACAAAGTAAATCCAGGCTGAAGACTTTATTTTTGCTGCTGCTTTTTATTGAACTATTCACATCTTACACTGAACTGTAACTTTTATTCATGTACCTTGTTATTCATGTTTTATTATATGTGTTTCCGGCGCAACACTATTTCTTAATACTTTTAATGTCTTTAATTTTTGTAAAGCACTTTGAATTGCCTTATGTTGAAAGGTGCTATATAAATAAATTTGCCTTGCCTTGCAGACTGAGCTACTGCCGCCCTCAAATAAGTCCAATATAAGACAAATTCCAAGTGCCTAATTAAAGGTAAAAACGATTTGATACATTTCTTCAGAAGCACAACACCAGAAGGCAGACGTATCAGCATGTTTTCCTTATTCCCACACAATGAATCCAGATGATTCAAAGGGGAACCCAACACATGCAGACACATATTGGAGCACTATCGGGATTGTTCTGACCATAGAAACATAATTAAGTGTGTGAACCACGAGGGGAGTGTACCCCCTAGTGTGTCCTTTTGTGAAGTATCCCCCGCTGCACTGCTGCATTGATCATTGCACCTCAAAAAGTGTTGTACACACTACAGAAACACACTGTTTACTAATTCATACAGCCTAAACAAAGGTTCAGTCAGAGATATAAAGTACATAACATCAATCCAGACCCTCCTATAGCAAACCGTCATGTTGCTGCTTCAAGTCGAGTTACTTCATGGAAAGAGAAACCTGATGCGTGGCATTTCATTCTTTTGGACACATTCAATCCCGTAAACTCAGATGTTAGAGCACACCCTGCCAAACAGAGTAATATCAATCAGTTAGATAATGCCAGAGAACAGAAGAAGGCTTTGCTTATCCAGCTTGTGTTGATTTGAAACACCTGTTTGAGCTGAAACTGGCATCACAAAGCAGCCAGCACAAACTGCTTTTGTGCTGGCTGCTGAAAAATCAGTTATGATGCTGAATATTTCTTGTCTTCCTTATTCGTGACAAGATCAAACTATTTGCAATTTGATATGCAAATCTGGCAACGCTGGCTTCAAGGATTCTCTTCATCGTTAGATGTTTTACTTTGTTAAAATGATTAATACTACTGTGTAGAAATTGTTTGTTAGAAGTGTAATTCCTGCATTCAGAATGTTACTTAACTCCAAGAGTGCTCATTATAAAGAGGGGCCATTTTAGGAATGATTTATTACTGAATTACAGTATATTCATGTCTTCATCATTTACATGTTGCAGCTGGTAAAGGGTGAGCTATCTTTTAAGAGGCCATATTATCCTTTTTGGTTTTCCCTTTCCTGTAGTGTGTTCTAATGTTTTTTGTGCATGTAAATGGTCTGCAAAGGCTCAAATCCCTGTTCCCTCCAGAGGGAGCTTCTCTGCCCCCGCCTGAAACCCCTCCATTGGACTCCTTTGTTTACATAGTGACATCACTATGTAACAATTGCGCTTCTATTGGCTAGTGCTTGTATGAGCTAAGGGGTAGGACATCTGTAAGCAGTTGACCAATCACAACAGAGCCTGCCAGCTAACTAATCAGAGCAGGCTGGGCTCTGGTTTCAGACAGAGGGTGAAAAGGAGGCTGCAGCACAGGCAGTATGAGAAAGATAAAGAGCTTTTTGAACATTAAAGCATGGAGACATGTCACAGTAGAGACACTACATACTGATATGAAGCTAAAAATGTGCATAGGGTACCTTCAAGAAAGCTTACCTCAGTTCTGTCAGAGCCAAAAACAGAAGCATAAATAATAATATCATGCTTTAGTTGAGCTATTGGTAAGAGTTGTTATTTTCAGATAAACAAATGAAATACATTGTCATATATTGATACATTTTGTATTTTGATAAAGGATAGAAACTTTGAATGTATAAAAAATCTCTGATAGTTTTCTTTTGAATGGTTCAGGCTACTTTCATTTAAATCTTTCCTGCGAGTTATGTGACAAAACTAAATCAATGTCATGTCTAGAAGCAGGGTTAGGTCGAGGAGTTAAATGGGCAACACATAAAACATTTTCTTTAACTTACTGTTGGAGAGGGAGGACTGAGCTTTCCATCTATCAACTTGTCACCTCAGAGCAAAACATATTGATTGCTCTGAACTGCATTGTTCTTCACTGCAGTACGTGAAATAGATTTTCCATAACATCTCCCAAGAATACACCACAACAGCAGGAAATCCTTAAAAATGAGGTGGGAGATTTGGCCAATGTCTTTTAGCACTGGACAATAAGACAATAGGATAGACTTTATGGCATCAAAACAGAAGACACACACCACTGCTGCACACTGATGGAAAGGGAGATGAAATGTCCCAGATCTGTGTCTTTACACACACCTAGAGCTAAGCCAAGCCTGGCATTTCTCTTGTTCCTCTGCTCCAACTGGCCTCCACTCCAAAGGCTGTGTAAACTCAAAGCACATGTTCCCGTCCTCTGCCTCTCCATGTACATGTGAGACACTTATTCCACATCATAGAATATCCAAAACAGAGCAGGTAGTGTTGTTTAGGAAAGTGTGGTATAAGCTGTAGTTATAGTGGCATTCTTCATTGTGATTCTTTAGAAGGA